GTAAGTTTTAAAGTCAGGAGGTGTCAGCTGGGCACAGTGGCTACTGCCTGGAATCCTAGCACTTTGGGAGGCCAAGCCAGGAGGATCACTTGAAGTCAGAAGTTCAAGACCAGCCTGAGCAAGAGCAAGACCCCACCTCTACTATTATAAAAATAGAAAAATTAGCTTTGCATGGTGGTGTGTTCCTGTAGTCCCAGCTACTCAGGAGGCTGGGGCAGAAGGATTGCTTGCACCTATCATGACATCACTGTACTCTGCCTCAGGCAACAGAACGAGTCCCTGTTTAAAAAAAAAAAAAATCAGGAAGTGTAAATCCTCCAATTTTATTCTTTTTTTACAAGATTGTTTTGGCTATTCTGATTCCCTTTCATTTATATATGAATTTTAGGTTGCCAGTTTCTGCAAAAAGGAGAGCTATAATTTTGACAGATTGCATTAAATCTATACATTAATTCAGGGAGAATTTACCATCTTAACAAGAGTAAGGCTTCTGCTCCGTGAAACTGGGATATCTTCTTCATATTTTTAGGTCTTTTAAAATTTATTTTAATAATGTTTTGTGGTTTTCAATCTATAAGTATATAAGTATTATACTTCTTTTGTTAAATTTATGCCTAAATATTTTATTATTCTTGGTACTATTATAAAGAGAATTATTTTCTAAATTTCATTTTTTGATTATTCATTGCTAGTGTATAGAAATATAACTGATTTCTGTGTATTGATTTTGTACCCCGAAACTTTGTTGAACTTATTAGCTCTAAATTCTTTGTGTGGATTTATGAAGAATTTTAGGTATACAAGATCATATCTGAAAATAAATAGTTTTACTTCTTTTTTTAAATCTGAAATTCTTTTATTTCTTTTGATGACTAATTGCCTTTTTTTTAGAACCTTCAGTACAATGCTATAAAAAAACAGCAAGAGTGGACATCCTATTTTTTTCCCAATCTTAGAGAGAACGCTTTTAGTCTTTCACCTTTAAAGTGCAATCTTAGCTTTTCATAGATGCCCTTTAACAGCTTGAGGAAATTCCCTTCTATTCCAAGCTTGTTTAGTGTTTTTCTCATGAAGGAGCATTGGATTTTGTCAAATGCTTTTTCTGCATTTATTGAGATGATCCTGTGGTTTTTGTCTTTTATCTCTTAACATGGTATATTACATTGATTGATTCTTATATGCGATATCAACTTTGCATTCCTGGGAGAAATCTCACTTTGTTATGGTGTATAATCCTTTTTATTTGTTGCTATTTTCTATTTGCTAGTATTTCATTGAGGATTTTTACATCTCCATTCATAAGGAACGTTGGTCTGTAGCTTTTCTTATGAAAAAGAAGAAGAATTTATTTTTCAGAAGAATTTGTAAATAATTGGCTTTTAAATTATTTAAATGTGGCTGGGCCGGTGGCTCAGGCTTGTAATCCTAGCACTCTGGGAGGCCGTGGCAGGCAGATTGCTCAAGGTCAGGAGTTCAAAACCAGCCTGAGCAAGAGCGAGACCCCGTCTCTACTATAAATAGAAAGAACTTAATTGGCCAACTAATATATATAGAAAAAATTAGCTGGGCATGGTGGCACATGTCTGTAGTCCCAGCTACTCAGGAGGCTGAGGCAGGGGGATCGCATGCGCCCAGGTGACTGAGGTTAGGCTCAGGTGAGTTAGGCTGACACCACGGCACTCACTCTAGCCTGGGCAACAAAGAGAGACTCTGTCTCAAAAAAAAAAAAAAATATTTAAATGTTTGGTAGAATTCACCAGTGAAGCCATCTGGGCCTGGGCTTCTCTTTGTGGGAAGGTTTTGTATTACTAATTCAACTTCTTTACTTGTCGTAGGTCTATTCAGATTTTCTATTTCTTCTTGAGTAAGTTTCAATAGTTTGTGTCTTTCTAGGAATTTGTCCATTTCATCTAAGTTACGTAATTTGTTGGTATACAGGTGTTCATAGTACTCCCCATATTCCTTTTTTATTTCATAATGTCAGTAGTTCTCTCTCCACTTTCATTACTGATTTTAGTTATTTGAGTCTTTTCTTTTTTTCTTGACCAGTCTAGCTAAAGGTTTGTCAATTTTGATGCTCTTATCAATAAACCAACTCTTGGTTTTGTTGGTTTGTTCTATTGTTTTTCTGTTCTCTGTTTCATTTATTATTGCTCTGATCTTTATTATTTCTTTCCTTCTGCTTACTTTGGGTTTAGTTTGCTTTCTGTCTAATTGATTCAGGAGAAAGTTTAGGTTATTAATTTGAGGTCTTTCTTTTTTAATATAGGTGTTTAAAGCTATAAATTTTATTCTAAGAACTAATTTTACTGCATTCCATAAGTTTTGGTATGTCATATTTATATTTGTACTTATCTCAAAGTATTTCTAAATTATTTTATGATTTCTTTAGCACATCTGTTATTTAAGAGTATATTGTTTAATTTTTACGGCCGGGCATGGTGGCTCACACCTGTAATCCTAGCACTCTGGGAGGCCGAGGCAGGCGGATCATTTGAGCTAAGGAGTTCGAGACCAGCCTGTGCAAGAGCGAGACCTCATCTCTACTAAAAAAATAGAAAGAAATTAATTGGCCAACTAAAAATATATAGAAAAAGATTAGCCAGGCATGGTGGCACATGCCTGTAGTCCCAGCTACTTGAGAGGCTGAGGTAGAAGGGTCGCTTGAGCCCAGGAGTTTGAGGTTGCTATGAGCTAGGCTGATGCCATGGCACTATAGTCAGGGCAACAAGAGTGAAACTCTGTCTCAAAAAAAAAAAAAAGTTACATATTTGTGACTTTCCAAATTTTACTTCTGTTATTGATTTCCAATTTCATTACATTATGGTCAGATAACATACTTTGTATAATTTTAATGCTTTTAAATTTATTGATACTTGTTTATGGCCTAACATATGTTCTATCCTAGAGAATGATGCATATACACTTGAGAGAAATGTGTATTCTGCTATTGTTGGGTGGAGTGTTCTATAAATGTGTATTAGGTTTAGTTGGTTTATAGAGGTTTTCATGTCTATTTCCTTGCTGACATTCTGTCTACTTATTCTATCCATTATTGAGAGTGGAATATTGAAGTTTTCAACTATTACTGCTTAATTGTCTATTTCTTCTTTTAATTCTGTCCGTTTTTGTTTCATATATTTTGAAACCCTGTTTTTACATGCACCTTGTATTTATAATTGTTATATCTTCTTGATGGAGTGACCTTTTTATCATTATAAAATGTCCTTTTTGTCTCTAGTACCAGCTTTTGTCTTAATGTCTATTTTGTCTGATATTAGTCTAGTTATTCCAGCTCTCTTTACCTAATTTGCATAGTATATGTTTTTCCATTCTTTTATTTTGAACCAACTTGTATGTTTTATTTTAAATTTTTTCATGTATTTTTATTTGCATATATTTATGGGATACAAGTAACTTGTGTTTTTTAATTAAAGTTTGTTTCCTGAAGGCAACATATAGTTGGATCGTGTGTTCTTAATCCATTCTGCCAGTCTCTGCCTTTTAATTAGAATACTTAATCCATTTAAATTTAATGTAATTACTATACAGTTGGATTTATGTCTGCCATTTTTTGTTTGTTTTCTACTTATGTCTTTTTCCCCCTATTCCTCATGTCTTCTGTTGTTTTAAATAAATCATTTTCATTTTAATTTAATTTAAATTTAGATTTATAATTGTTACTTTATGAAGTTGTCTTTTAAATCATTTAAGAGGGGGGAAAGCCATTTTTCTTGAATAACCATTCTCTGTATTAATGCAAACCTTTGGTTAATTTCCAGAGTTCTGCAAAAGTTGATTCTAATTATTTTTGCCAGTTTTCTTGTTGCTTTTTGGAGGAGAGAGTTTTCAGAGCTTCTTACTTTGTCATGTATCAATTTCATATGTAACTTTGAATTTATTTTATGGCTTTTGAGTTTTATGTCACACTTTAAAAGACTTTTTCCTCTCAAAGATTATTTTAACTATTCTCCAAGTCTTTCAAGTATTGTTTTAAGTTAACTTTATCAAAATATTATTTACATATAAGAAAATGCATCCATTTTAATGATGAGTTCTGACAAATGTATACACCCATGTAACCACTAGCACAATCATAATAGAGAACACATGTCCATCAAAAAAGTTCTTTCAGTCCCCTTTACAATCATTCCCACTCTTTCAGTACTCCTAGCCCCAGCACAAAGATACTCTCATTATTTTTTCATTGTCTTTGCATCTGTCTTATTTCCTCTGTGTCATTTCTTATTCACCCTTCTTGAGTAAGTTACCTAATACTTTGTCTCTTTTATTTCATTCCATTTCAAAGAGTCAATTCTTTTACTTATGTATTATATCATTTCTCTCTCTCTCTTTTTTTTTTTTTTTTTTTTGAGACATAGTCTTACTCTGTTGCCTGGGTCAGAGTGCTGTGGTGTCAGCTTAGTTCACAGCAACCTCAAACTCCTGGGCTCAGGCGATCCTCCTGCCTCAGTCTCCCAAGTACCTGGAAATACAGGCATGCACCACCATGCCCAGCTAATTTTTTCTATATATTTTTAGTTGGCCAATTTCTTTCTATTTTTAGTAGAGACAGTGTCTCACTCTTGCTCAGGCTGGTTTTGAACTCCTGACCTTGAGCAATCCACCTGCCTCAGCCTCCCACAGTGCTAGGATTACAGACGTGAGCCACTGCACCCGGCCTCATTTTTCTCTTTTAAAATTAGCTCTTTGAGTAAAATGCTTAATCGTTGTTAAAGAATGTGAGTTTTCCTCTGAGTACTTCTGAGCTAAATCCCAAAGGTTCTGTTATGGAGAGGTCATCTCACTATGCATTTTTTTTTTGCTTTGTGTGTGTTTCTTATGAAAAAATTTAGAAGGTCAGTATTTTTATCTAAGAAGGTACTTTTATAACTATGACTTTGGTGGTATTCATAGACTTCCTACCATAAGCAGTGATGGAATTTATATATTTCTTCTTCTCTACCACTTATTTGATTATGCTACTTTCCTTAGTATTTTCCTAAATATGCTTCTTATTTCTGTCAGGTTCTAAAGCATTCTAAATATATTCATGCCAGGCTAAGTTTTACCCAGAGGGTTCTTCTTAGACTTTATTTTGCCCTTCTTCTGCCCCTCCCAGCTCCCCACCAGACAGTACCTACTCATTTTAGCCAGGGAAAGTAAGGGCTTAGTTGATTGTTGGGCAACTTGACAGCTGCTGCCTCCACAAGGGACAGAAGTGAAACTTAGGTTCTGTAACAGCCTGAAACACTTATCAGGGAATGCTCAGAACATCCTGCCAGAGCTCCCTAAAAATAGCATCACTAGGCTAACAAAGCCTGGAGCCCAGGACACAGACTCTTGTCCCTTCTCCTGAGGTGCCTAGGCCAAGCTTAGGGTCCCTCCAAATGGTGAAAACTTCTTTTTGCCTAGCTCTCCATGATTGTAACGAGACTAGGTTCCTGGGCATCTCATCCCAATACGGGCAAATACATTCGTCCCTCATTATCTTGGAGGGTGGGGTGGGGAATTGGTTCTAGGATCCCCTGCAGATACCAAAATCTATGGAAGCTCAAGTTCCTTATATAAAATGATGTAGTATTTTGCAGGTAACCACACATCCACACATTCTCCCATATGCTTTAAAACATCTCTAGATTACTTATAATACCTAATACAATACAAATGCTGTGCAAATAGTAGTTATACTGTACTGTATATGGAATAATAATAAGAAAAACAGTCTGTACTTGTTAAGCACAGTACAGACACAGCCAACTTTTTTGTTTCCCCCACGTATTTTCCATCCACAGTTGGTTGCATCCATGGATATAGAATCCATGGATACAGAGGGCTAACTATATTTTCAAATTGAACAGTTTCAGAAGATATTTTGGCAGGGTCCTTAAAGGCTCTTTTCACCCCCAGCCTGGACTAGCTCTCATTTACACTTGCCATAGCCACACCCTTGCTATTCCGAACCTCCCTGTCCCTGAAATGCATTTTCCCCACTGGGCTCTTCCCAGGCTCCAGAGTTCAAACCAAAGAGAACAGTGCTACCAGATGCCCGCCTAGTTGAGAGACAGCCAGTTCTGTGAGACTATTATCTGAGAAAGTCTTTTATCTCCTGTGCTGTGTCCTGCAAGGGAACAGACGTGTCCAGTTCAGTTTCTGTCCTTACTCCTGCTTTTTTTTTCAGTCCTACCTCTCACACCCCATCTGTCCTACATCTCCTTTATCATTAACCTGCCCCCCATCCACCCACATACTGTCACACCATAAGATGTCACTTGTTCACAAGGTGCAGAGCAAAAAGCAGAAGAACTTCCTTGACCCAAGCAAATGAATCTGCTTTCCGGCATCATGGGAGAGCCAGAAAATACTTCTGAAGGAGACTTTGAAATCCCCTGAATCAAACTGCACTGCAGTGTCCTGACCATGGAAGGAAACCACTTCCTCACTGGCGAGACGGACTGGAGATCATGCAGCACAAACTCCGGACCAGAGCCTTTTCTGTTCACGAGCCAAGTGATCAGTCAAACGCGGGCCCTTTCCTTCCCCATTCAGCCACTAAGCATTCACGTACCATCTTTAGGGTTTATTTAGCCCAGCCTGTAATGGCAGAAGAACCAACATGAGAGGCTTCCCCAAGACATCCCAGTCATATGTGGGCATCACTTTCCCTTTGAGTAAAGTCAGGACATTAGGGTAGATCTTAAAGTCCCTATTGGCTCAGATATTCTAGGATCTAGGGCCTGAGCTGGATAGATAGATGCACAGAACCCCCAGGGATGATCTTCATGAGTTTTTAGCGTGGCGAGCAGCTTAGCTGGATGCAGTTTGACTGTCAGGTGGATCCTGAGCTGGCTCACAGGAGGCCCCTCCACCCTTGTCCCCTCCTGGGAAGATGACTGTGGCATATGTTACAGGATTGGAGGAGATTAGGACCTTAGGGGGCAGAGGGGGCAACGAGGGTGGGGCTGGGGGTGGGGGTTTCCCTGATGGGGGATCAAGAGGTAAACTGGTGTAGGTGGTATTGTCAAAGGAAGGTGGCGAGTCGAGCCTAACATATGGCACATCCGAAGGCAACTCAGCAGCCAGTCCAGAGTCACTGATGTGGTGGACCACCGAAGAGGGGCCCTGTAACAAAAGGAGACAAATCAGGCAACAAGAGTGCCTCCCTCTGCCCCAATTCCCGGTGGAAAGCTCAGGACCACACTGGATCTAGCTCTTTTTTTTTTTTTTTTTTTTTTTTTTTTTTTGAGACAGAGTCTCGCTTTGTTGCCCAGGCTAGAGTGAGTGCCGTGGCGTCAGCCTAGCTCACAGCAACCTCAAACTCCTGGGCTCGAGTGATCCTTCTGCCTCAGCCTCCCAGGTAGCTGGGACTACAGGCATGCGCCACCATGCCCAGCTAATTTTTTATATATATATCAGTTGGCCAATTAATTTCTTTCTATTTATAGTAGAGACGGGGTCTCGCTCTTGCTCAGGCTGGTTTTGAACTCCTGACCTTGAGCAATCCGCCCGCCTCGGCCTCCCAAGAGCTAGGATTACAGGCGTGAGCCACAGCGCCCGGCCTTGGATCTAGCTCTTGAATCCTGAGTGTCAGTGGGCAAGAGGGCTTCACTTTGAAGATTTTCAAGCTCCAAGTTTCTCCCCCAATCTGGGAAGGTGGGATATTAAGGGAGATCATTCATGCCAAGTTTATAGCATTTGGGAAGAGGGCTTGGACCCTAGCTGGGTCCCAGTCCTTTTCTTACCCCATCATCCTGGGACCTCTCAGTGAGCATGACGGATAAAAGCTCTGGGGGATTTGGCTGGGCGCCTGCAGAGCCTCTTACCATGCCTGAAACTCTGCTGCTCTGGAATCGGCCACAGACGCCAAGCCTGTTCCCTGGCAGGACAGACGAAAGCAGCACAGTCTGCTTCCATGGCTGGCCCAAAGCCCATCCCCTCACTCCCTTCTGAAACCCCTTTGCTAGTGCAGACTCACCTTCCCCATTCCACTGCCAGACCTTTACCCCCGTCTCTCCAGCCCCCACCCCAGACTGCCCTGAGTCTCCCACCCACTTACTGCTCTGGTCTGCCTCGACACTCAGCCAACCTCCCCAAACCCTTTCCCCACCTCCTCCACCACCTTGCCTCCCATCCCACTGCCCTGCCCTTCCCAATTCCTGACTTTCCCCTGGCCTGTTCCCAGTGAATCTCCTTCCCCACCCTCCACCCCTCAGCCCTGGGAGCTCTAGGGTGTGGGGGCCTTGACTAAAGGCCAGACAGGTCCATCTGTAGAGGGATCGAACCTAGACTCCTGGCATCACCTGCAAAACTGGTTGATACGGGGCAGGCAGGGCCAGGCTGGGATAGGAGGATACACAGCTGCCTACCTTTCCTTTTGGCCATCACGGCAAACAGCACCACTGCTGCCACCAGCAGGCCCAACAGGAGCACGGCACCCCAGATCAAGGGGACGCTGAGGGACAGAAAAGGAGAGGTAGGCTTAGCCCCGAACACTGTGGGGAGCTGCTGGCCAGGGGCCCTGAAGCAGTGGCAGAAGGGTCACATTGTTGGTGAAGACTCAGGCAGGACAGAGGGGGACACATCAGGGTATCTTGGCTGAAGATCCACCAGGATGAAGGGACAACTGCTCATTGCTCAACTTGGATAGAGAGGTGTCTCTCTGTCCAGAAGTTCTCCCCGGGGTGGAAGGAATCACAAGTTTTCCCCTTTGATTTAGCTGGAGCTCTGAACAAGTCATGATCTTCACCACCGCACTTCCCAGCCCCCCAGATCCAATCGGTCAGTACCTCTTCTCATCCTGGCTGGGTTCTGAAGGGCGGACACTGCCTGCAGGGCCTGAGAGGGAGTCCTCAGCCAGGCTGCCCGTCTTACGTGTCTCTTCCTCCTCCTCCTCTCTCAGGCCAGGAACTGAGTCGGAAGGAAACATTCAATGGGTGCATCCCCGTGGGCAGGCCGCAATGGTGTGTGGGGGTCTGAGGGACTGGGGAGGTGGAGCCACGGAGGGAAAGGTCCCCATGAAGAAGCACAAAGACAGGGCTGCTGGGGATGTCCCTCAGGGACCTCTCATCCCACAGATCAGGCAATGGCACCAACTCTTTATGTCTTCACCAGCTTGTGAATATACCCACTTTCCCCTCTCCCACCAGCCCCGCCCCCTGCACTTCTGCTTTGCCTGCTCCACCCCTCCCCCCTGCGCCCACCTCCCTCCCACCCCAGCTAGGTCTCTGCAGCTGTCTTCCTCATGGTGACCTTGCTCCTGGCTCTCATGGGTCTCACGTGGGGACTCTCCACACACCTGCAACCCGTAACCCCACCTGCAGGCTGGTTCGGCCTCACCCCCAGCTCTGCCCTCGGGATTTAAGGCACTGCAGGCCAGCCTGGTACGACGCAAACCCAGCTGGCCCTTGCTGAGAGCCTTGCTGGGAGCCTGAGACTCAGTCTGGGGACGAGGCTTCCGTTACCCCTACAGCGTGCTTGACTTCTGGCTACAGGATCAGGCTTGGTTTCTCTGGGCCTGAGGATTTGTCTTAGGAAGCTGGCCAGTCCCTCCAGACCTTCTTGATCTTGATCTTGAGAGAGTCGCCATTCCTATTCCTCACCCTATGCCACACTGGAAGAGCTGTGGCCCCCGTCTTGCGGCACATGTCCTGCCCTCCTGGTGCCTACTGGGCCACCTTGGACGACCCCCTCTGAAGCTAGAGGCTTGCCTGAGCTGCAAGCCACACTCTCCCTGGAAACCAGCCTCCACTTCCCCGCGCGAACACCATCCTCCACCACCCTGGCCCCACTGCAGCGGGCTGGGGCTCCAGGTCCCTGCCTCCCCGCCCCCTCTAGCTGACCATTTTCCCTCCAGACCCCACCCCCACCTTTTTTTTTTTTTTGAATATCCTATTTTTCTGAAACAAATCTTTTTAAATATTTAAAAATTTTCTTTGAATAAATGCTTTCTAGCATTTAATAAATGCTAAAAGGCAAAGGCGGTGAGAATGAAACCTGTAAATTGTAACGTGTTTTTTTCTACTGAAAATAGAGTTGAGAATATTGGCTTAAACATCACTGACACTTTTCTCCTTTTTAAAACCGAAGGCGTTGAAGTGGTTCAGGCACTGAATGGATCCTGCCTGTAGGTGAGACATGCTGGATGTTCAATGAAGACTTATGAAATTGATTAAGATAGAAATTCAGTAATTGTAAGCCTTGAAACCCATTAAGAGAGCAATAAAAAACTGGAAGCTATACAAATGAATTCCAGTTTATATGCCCAGATTCAATTTTGCCTAAAACATTTCTAAGTAGAACATAAAGATAGTGTCAAGTATGTCAAAAACGCTGGAAGATGAGGCTGAGGCCGTGGGGCGGGAGGAGGACATGCCTTCCTGAGTGTGTATGTGCGTGTGTGTGCGTGCGTGCGTGTGTGCATGGGTATGTGTATGTGTGCATGCGTGTGTGTGCATGTGTATGTGTGCATGTGTATGTGTGCGTGCGTGTGTGCGCGTGTATGCATGTGTGCATGTGGGGGGGGGAGGGGAGGAATGGTGTTCAGCTGGTTTATCTCAGACTTCCCAAGCAGTCTGGTTTCCGCTCCCTGCAGAGCTATCAAAAGGATATCTCCTCCCAGTGCCTCTTCCCCAGGGGCTCCCACTCCTCGAGGACCCAAGGGCCCTGGTGATAAGTGGGGGCAGGGAGGGCGGGGCAGAGGGGCAGCTGCTGGCCTGGGGGGACTTACCTGCAGGGAGCACCTGCAGAGAGATTCTGTGCACAGTCTCGGGCCCCGCGGCTCCGTGCACCACGCAGCCGTACTCCCCGGCATCCTCCTCCTGCAGGGTGACCATTTCCACCTGCAGCAGGCCCCCACCCAGGTCGGTGAGAAATGTGTGCCTGCTGGCTGGGGCTGTGCGATCCACACCCGAGGACACCAGGGGCTGGCAGCCCTCTGGCGAGACCCGGCACCACTCCTTGCGAGCCTTGATGTCCTGAGGCCGGTAGCGGCAGTGCACCTGGATGGAGCTCCCCACCGGGGCCTGCAGCACCTCGGGGTCGCTGCCAGCTGTGCCCTGACCTAGGGAAGGGAAGGAGGTGGCAATATTGGGAAAGACCTGGGGGCACCTCCCAGCCTACCCGCTAACATAGGGACACTGGGACCTACAGATGTGGGTGTAGCACCCACTAGAACATCGGTTACTCCTGGGCATGGGCTGAGTCTACGGGGCTGGGAGGGGCCTTCTGACCCTTACCTTCCAGGCCCAGGAGCAGCAGCAGGAGCAGGTGAGGGCCCATGGCCGGGCAGAGAGATGTCAGCGCTGGGCTTGCCGGGCACTGATGCAGCGCTGTCCTGGGGGCAGGAAACATCTGCCTCAGGCAGTCACGTGGGGCCCTCAGTGACCACAGAGTGGGAGACAGGACTGGTGGGAACTTCTAGGGGTGGGGATAGGGAGCTCTCCAAACCCTGGATGGCTTGGTGCTCAGGAACTGCGCCTGAGGGTAGGGACAGGAAAGGCAGGGGCTGGGAGCAAGCTAAGGGGTGAGTTAGGAGGAAGATCCCGGCTAATGGAGGGCAAGAGAGAAAAGGGAAAGATGATCTTCTGGGTCTTCCAAATATAGAGTCTGAGGGTGCAGAGCTGCAAAAGAGGGAGGTAAAGTGTCCTGCACCTGGCCCGCGGCCATTCGGACTCTAAATTCATTATGATTGCTGCCCCCCCCCCCAGGCCTTCAGAAAATCGTCCTTCCTGCAGCACAGCCTCGCGCAGAAAGTTCCAACTCCCGCGGTGTGCCCTGCACCGGGTCTGTCTTTGCTGTCCTGGACACTCCAGACCTTTCCATTTGGATCCACGTTCTTCAGTTCTGGGAAACAGACGATGCCTTTGATAATTACTTCCCCATTTTCTCCCCCCCACCTTGTTTTTCTGCAACTCCTTAATTAGTTGGATGTTGAATGCCAGATATTCATCTTATTTTGATATCTTTTCTGTCTTATTTTCCATCTTTTTGTCCATTTTTTTCTGCCTTCTAGGGGATTATCTCATCTTTTCCTTCCATCCCTTCTATTATTGTCTTTTAAAATTCTATCCTTTAATATTTTAAATTCGTGAGACAAGATCTCTTACTCTCTGAGCATTTCTTATTGGTGGCGCACTATTTTTGTTTTATGAATGTGCTATTTTCTCTGTTGGGAGAAAATTCTCCATGAATATTTTCACATTTCTTCACGTTCTGGGCCTTCTGAGTAAAGGGCACAGACCAAGCTTTGTTGAGGATGACTGAATACCAAATATGCTGTAAAAAGCTGGGGACAGTGTGACATCCAGAGGTGGGAAGAAGTCTTTACATTCCAGAGTAAAGTCCCCCCCCCACCTCTCTCTCTGTCTGCCTCAAAGGGATGAGGGCCACTGCTGGGCGTGGGGACAGAGGTGACCAGGCGAGATCCAGGCCTTCAAGGAGGCGTCATGCTGCTGGGCATTAGGCGGAGGAAATCAGCCTTTATCGAGGACCTACTATGCCCCAGATAGCTGGCCAGGGACTCTCACAAATGTCATTTCTTTCAACCTCACACTCACAAAAAACCCTGTAAAGGAAGACAGGGGTGTTTGTTTATCTCTCTATCAGGTGAGGACCCTGAGGCTCAGAGAGGTTGAGAACTTGCTCAAGGTATCTTAGAAGGAGACAGAGTTGAAATTTGAGACCAAATGACCGCACTCCCCTTCAGTCCAGTGAGCTCCCAGAGAGTCCAAGGCAGGGATCCCAAAGGCGATTCCAATCCAGAGGCGGGCGTCTCTGGCATGGAGGATCGGGAAAGAGAAAAGGCCGAGCTCCCAAGAGGAGGAAAGCTCCGTTCTGGGCTGGGACTGATGGTAGCCACCATGCTCGGGTGCCAGGCATGCCCTGGGGAGCCTCCATGGCCGTCTCATCAGCATTGGTGCCCACAAGTAGGGCAGGAGGTAGGTGGAGAGAGCTCAGCTCAGACTCAGCTCAGTCTCGGTGCCTACACTGGGCCTTGGATCTGTGGGATGGAGGCCACTGGACAAGTCGAGACTGCCGGACAAGTCGAGGAAGCTTATGTGCTGCTGAGTCAGGGAGGCCGAGGACCCGCAGGTTGGACCAGAGCCCCACAGGAGCAGGGCAGGAGGCAGGGAGCAGTTGAGGTTGGAAGTGTGCAGGGCTGGGGCATAGCTGGGGGCAGGGAGGGGTGACGTGTCAAAGCGAGGCTGCAACTCGAGAGCAGGGTCAGGGGCTCCCTCTCAATCCACAGCCCCAGGTGCCCAAGCCCAGGCTGGGTGGCTGAGCAGCCACGTGTGGCCGTGGCTGGAGGGCCTCCTGGGCCTCTCCCTCCCTGGGGCCAAGCTCAGAGAGCCGAGGATGGTTTCCTTCTCTTCCCTGCGGCTCACCCTGGGAAGCCTCGCCCCACTTCCCCCGCCAGGGTGGGTGTGTACTGAAGCTGCCGACGCTCCCTCTGGCCTGGACAGGCCTGCCCTGACGACCTCCTGTCCCTTCCTCAGCTCCTGCCGGTGTTTCCCAGCTGGTGCCTTCCAGCTACCCTGTTCAAAATGGCATCGCCCCTGTTCCTCCCGCAGGCCAGGACTCTCGGCCCTGCTTTATTTCAGTTCTCTCCTCAGCACGTTCTGCCTTCCAACACACTATCAGATTTACCTTTTCCCTGTGCTTACTGTCTGTCTCCCCTCCTCCCACTAGCACGTGGCTCCGTGTGGCCAGAGCTCTGCCTGTCTTCGCTGTTGTATTCCTGGCATCTTTCCCACGCATGCTAGATGCTCCAAGGGATATTTGTTGGCTAAATGAGGTGCAGTGAGCTAGAGGGAAGAGCACTTGAATGCAAATGGAGATTTGGATTTCCAGGCTCTAGTGGGGACCTCAGGTAAGTCTGTCCCTTTCCCTCTGAGCCTCAGTTTCCCCTCTTTATAATGAGGGGCTTGAGCCTTGAGCTCCCAGCTCTGGTATGCTGCTCCCTGTGACTCAAGCCCTTGTCATTTCTCTGGAGAGGAAGTAACATGGTGAGAGCAATGCTCCAAGGAGATGGAGGGTGAGTCAGCTGGGAGCCGGGTGGCTTTGAATGGTGGGGGCTTCAGGTAGAGGTGGCTTGGGGCAGGGAACCCCATGGGAAGATGATAAAGAGGGTGAACCCAGCAGGAGGCCCCAAGGAGAGGGAGACTAGATGCTGGACACATTCCAGAGAGGGAGGCAGGACTTGGCGGCTAGATCTAGGGAAGGGAGGAGAGAGAAGAAAGAGATTGATTGGCTGGACTGGAGCCCGAGAGAATGGAAGGACCAGGTCTCCTAAGGCCCTTGGCCCCCAGGAGCCAGCTCTTTTATCTGTTCTTCATCCACATTTTTTTTCTTAGCCCTATAGAAAGGAGAAGTCCCAAACCATCTAGTTTAATATAAGTCTTGAATTTATTCATGAGTGCTTAATGTGCAATGCCCGGAAGTTGGCAGATGATCTTCCCAATCCCCTACCCAACCGCCGTACGCACAAGTCCCAGCTTCCAAGAGCCAGGTCAAGCAGGGTGCGGGCAGGGCGGCCTCTCGCCAGAGCAGAGCCAGGAGTCTCGGTGGCCGAGGGCGAGTGTGCCCGCTGGGGTGGCCCCCGGCTGGACCTGTCCTGGGCTTCTCCTCCCATCCTCTTCTGTCACGGGTCTCCCAGCCCTGCAACAGCCCGAGTGATCACATGGTCCCTCTCAACCCCACCTCCGCTCCCAGCCATCACTGTGCTCTCCGAGCTCACCTGTCAGCTCTTGGAGCTGGTGCCCTGGGTCACTGCCACAGTCCAGTCCACTGGCTGGACGTGTCCCCAGCCTCCACCCACGCCAGGCCGCGGCCCAGAGGCTGCCAGCTGCCAGGAACTTGATGAGGAAGATGCAGGCCAGGAGGAGAAGGATGGACGTGGGTGGGAAGGGCATCTCTCCTGCCAAGGTGCTCCTTGGAGAGACAAGGAAGGCAGGTGGGAGCCTTGAGGCGGCCTGCAGACTGGAATCTGCCCTCAGACAGGGAAGGGGAGAAACCAAGTGCTTCTAGGGGTTCAGCATACCTTCCCACCCAGACCGCCCCTGGCTGGGACTTTCTGGGGCTTGGGGGAGCCTGTAGCAGGAGACCTGTGCTCTAGGCATGGTCTGCCACTAACTAACCTGCTGAGGCCCTTAGCAGGTGCACACACCACCTCCCCTCCACAAGCAGTTCCTGCCCTGCACAGGGGCATGCCGTGTGGGGCAGTGTGCACGCGTGTGTGCCCAGTGGGTTACATCAACCCTCTTTAAACACTGGACGCAGGCATGAGCCCGTCAGAACTGACTCTGGTCCTACCAAAGGAGCAGGGATCTGGGAGTGCCAGTTTGTACTGAAGTACTGGGGACAGACATCCCCACTGGGGGCTGCCAGGGGAGGGGCAGGGGGGGAGGGGCAGCAGGCTGCCTATTCAGGAGTCTCAGAGGCAGGCTGAGACTGAATAGGCAGGCTGCCTATTCAGCAGCTCTTCGCAACCCATTACGGAAGTCTTCAACATTCTGGCGATTGACACAGTCACGCCAATACATACTAGCTGGTTGGAGGGGCATTTAGGCAAGACATATCCAAGCCCTTTCATGTTCTTGCTCACCTCGGAATTTGCAGTTCAGGACCCCACCCTCCACCCTATGCTGGGCTCTGCAGGGGGCAGTCTGCTCAAGCATCTTAGGAAAGACCCAGCACTCTACCTGGCGATGCTGTGCTCCGCGTGGACATCCTCCAAGCTCTCGGACTCCCCAGGGACCCAGAGATCTCCGGCGTCCAGGGGGTCTGTGGGAGACAGAGCTGTGAGCTCCAGCCCCCTCCTCCTTGAGGCGGCCGGCCTCAGTGGGGAGAATCCCCGGGGCTCTGGTCTTGTATGGATCAGGTCATTAACCTCTCTGAGCCTCCGTTTCCCCACCTGGTAAGAACACCTCCTCAATACCAGGGTTGCCAGGACCCAGTGCCAGCACCTCTGGATGTGCCCAGCACCTCACAGGAGCTCAGCACTTGTGACTCCCACCCTCCCTCCAAACACGGGCTGTGAAGGGCAAATGGAATCATGAATGCGCTTGGTCAAGCTGTCTACACGCGCTGTGGGTTACTTTATATTGAAGTTCTCCGTTGAATTGCCGCCTCTCAGGAGCTGGCTGGGCCCTAGACCCTGATAGGGCTGGCCATACAGGTCTTTTGCCGCTCTCCCCGAGAAAAGTGGTAGAGGTGGGGTCTGTGTATGGGGTTGGCCGTCTCCCCTGGCCTCCCACTGCAGGCAAATGCCACCGGACCCCATTTCCGTGGGAAAGGGCTGTACTAGGAGGAGAAGTTGGGAAAGCGGGAGTCGGAAAAGGCATCCGTAACCCCAGGGTTATTCTCCTGTGGGACACAGCTGTGTTCTGGTGACTGGGGCAGAAGGCTCTGCTAGAGGGTGGTCCCCTTGCAAAATGCAGGGGTGGGAAAGAGCCACCCTCTCTCTCCTACTCAAGCCTGGAATGAGGGTCCCAAGTCGGTTCAGTAGGAGGAGGCTCGGAGCATGGTATCACCCCCCCCCTGCCAACCTCCAGGAACTCCAGCAGCCCTGTGGGATAAACATCAGCGTCTCCACTTAAAGATGAGGAAACAGAGGCCCGAGGAAGTAAAGCACCTGGCCCAGCACAAGCAAGTGTTCCTTTCTAGGGGCATTTCTCTGCACCAGGTTGGTGCTTACTTTGTGTTGATAGGTCCATTGGTGGGTTGGATGGGGGCATAAATTAATCTCCTCCTCCTTAAGGACCACCTATGCTGTTCACATCCGAAGCAGATGTCAAAGGGATAAAGCTGCCGGGGAGCAGGGCCAAGCCCGCCTCAGACAGTGCCTCAGTGCGAACTGGAGAGGGGTGCCCTTTCTGTGGGCGGTGCAGCCCTCACCAGGGCGGACAGCCTGGTGAAGGAGTCTAGGCTGGAATTTGGCCCCCTCGTACAGTGAGCAACCTGCACAACTATCCATGGCGGCTCTGAGTGGGGGGACGAGACCCACACTGTGGGTTTTCCCGGGATCCTTGAGAGCCCGGAGAGCAGGTGGTCCTGCACACTGCTGTCCCAAACATGAAGCCTGTCCCAGAGGCGGGCCAGAGGTGCAGTCAGCTGCCCACTCACCTGCCAGCACCTCCACCAGGACCTTCCTGAGGGTGTCGGCCTCACCGCCATGGAGGCTCTGGCACTGGTAGAGGCCCGTGTCCTGGGCTTGAAGATCGCGCAGCGTGACGGTGAGGGTGCCGCCCAGGGCGTCATCGGCGATGGCTGTGCTCCCGTTCCGCCTCTTCAGGAAGGACAGCAGCCACACGCTGTGCGTGCTGACCACGCGCTGGCACGGGCCCTCCTCGCCCACCTGGCGGCACCAGGCCTTGCGCCTCCCCCAGTGCTTCAGGGAGTCGTAGGGGCAGGAGACCCGCAGGGACTGGCCCGCCACGCCCAGGAGCACGGTGGCGTTGTGGGCCCGGCACAGCTCTGCGGAGAGGACGCCCATTCAGCCCTTCATTCAGTTACTCCCAGTTACCGAGCGTCTGCTATATGCAGTGAGCCAGACAGACAACATCCTGCCCTTAACCGCCTCGGGACCAGCGTCGACTACAGCCGACAGCCACGGATGGACGCGCACCGCGACTGTAGCCGGCAGCCGTGACAGGACTTTTCTAATTTGTCATTTATCAAAATAAAATTGTGAACATTTAAAAATAACGCAATGAAAACATACATGTGTATGTTACCCATTCTGGTTTACACTACAAGTAAAGCTGCCTGTAAAGTGAAACAGGCTTTCGGTGCTTTCAGGCTTTCCGCATCACACAAGAGCGAAACGGATTCATGGTCGATGCGCAGCGCAGACCGCCGCGGACTGCGAGTGCGGCTGTGGGCGAGGTGTCGCGGCCGGTGAGCGCCGTACAGACGTGGCTAAGGAGCTTGGGTTTTTATCTAAGCTGGGAGAGGGCGGCGCATCCCAGGCAGGCATTGTGGGAACCTGAGAACCAGGAAACTGGGCCCTGGATCTGGCGTTCTCACCAAACTGGCCCTCTCTGGGCCTGTGTCCAGGGACGCTTGGTCTCAAAGTCCCCTCTGGTTCTATCCTGCTCATCTCCTCCCTGGCAGAGGCACCTGGACCTCCCCTCTCCCCTGTGCATCTCGAGAGCAGGGCGGGTGGCCCTCGCAGGCCTGGGGCTGGTTCCACAGGGACCGGGCTGGGCCCCCCTGTGCCCCCGCCACGCTGGCCCTGCTGCTGCCCACGCTGGTACCGACTCCGCACTCTCCTCGCTCCTGACCTTTAGCTTCCAGCTTCCCTATTTCTGTGGCTTTGTTCCCCTTTCAGGAAGGACTTGTCTCGGAGCTATTTTGGGGGATCCATGTGGCTGCTATTTTGGGGACCCTCCTTGGGGTGGGGGTAGGGCTTAGAGCACCAGCCTATTGCCGGGACAGGGCTGCAGGGGAACCCGCCGGAGCCCTCTGCTCCAGCTTCTCCCCTGGGCCTCCCCCTGCGCCCCATCCTCAGCCATTGCTGTGACAGGGACTTGAGAGATAGCACTGGGGAGCTGGTGGCCTGACTTCTGGAACTAGAGAGAGCTGATGGACAGTGTCCCTCTCCACAGGTCACCCCGTGCATCCTCAGCCACCAGGCGGCCAATACACCCACCTTTCTCCCGCTACCTGCAGCTGAGACGCTGTGAGAACAAGACTCTGCCTACACAGACAGTGCCCTGTCCCCCAGGGTTGCCCAGTGCTCTGGGGGAGCAAGAGGTGCAAAGCCAGCTGTAAGCTTTTGGGGTGTCCATCCCCCCTGCTCAGTGACAAAAGGTCTTAGCCCCCTCGCCTCTCATCAAGGGCAGAGGGCAAGCGGGTCCTCCGGGCAAGCAGGGAGTGCCCCGAGATGCAGAGAGACAGCCCCGGGTTCTTTCCTCCTTCGTGATGTTAGGGACTCATAATCTGTGGCTCATGAGCTAGTGCCCGAGACGCCACCACCAGCACGTCCGTCCCATGCGGCCAGAGTCCGCCAGCCCCCCGTGCATCCGCCCGCATGGGAAGTCTGACAGCGGGTTTGACATGGGCAGGGGGAGGGTGCGAGGGATGCGGGTAGGGTGGGGAGGTGAGGGGTGCAGAACAGGGCACTTGGGCGTCAACCTTCCTCCTAGTTCAGCTCACTGTCCCCACCGTTTGCCCCAGGAAGGAGAGGGAAAGAAGGCGTCACGGAGAGTGGGGCCCCTACCTGTGGCGAGGAGCAGGACAAGCAGCCGGAGAGGCCCCATGCCGCCTTCCCGCTGAGGGCAGACACAGGGCGCCTTGTGCAAGATCCCTCCTTCCCTGAAGGGCACAAGGCGAGGGTCAGGCACACCAGGCGCTGCCACAGGAACTGGCTCTCGGGGGTTGAGCAACAGTGGAGCCTGGGGTCGGGCTCTGTGATTCAGGGAGGGTGCGGGGGCGGGGGAGGAGGAGTCGGCCCCGCAGTCCTGGTGGAGGAGGAGGCTCAGGATCCCAGACTTCTGAGGAACCAGCCCCCCCTCCTTCCGGTGCCAGCCAGGGTGGCCCCCACGTGCCTGGGGCTGGCCAGGCTGCAGGGCTGCTTGGCCCCCTGGCAGAGCACTGTCCTCCCGGCCTCGCTCAGACTCTCCACCGGCTGCAGTGCCTGCCATTTTCTGGCTCCAGCCTTGCCGGGGACGGGGAGCAGCTGCTCCTCTTGGAGCCCAGGACCCTCGCCCGGCCCCTCTAGTCCTTCCTCTGGGGCTGGCATCCCTGTAGCAGGCAGCCTGGCTTCAAGTCCTCCCTCCTCACTTCCCGGAGTGTAACCACGTCTGCAGCCCCCCTGTGGCTCGGTTCCTGGATCTGTAAAATGGGGCTAAGGATATCGAACGGGGTTACGGGGAGGATAGAGTAAGTCGAATCCAGGTAAAGTGCTTCTCCTGGCGCACAGTTAGCTCTCAGCAAATATTAACTATTGTTATTACCCTAGTTAGCAGGGAAAAGGGAAAACGGGGCTGTCCAAGAAAGGGAGACTTTTCTCTTCCACCTGGAATTTCCTGCCCAAGTTCTGCCTCCTTGGCACAGTTGGGCACGCCCAGTGTGCGTGTGTTCACGCTGCCATTTATCTTGGTGCACACACGCCTGAGCTCCCGGCCAGCCTACAGGAGAGACATTTCCTGGAGTTCAGGGCTGGGGTGTGTTTTTCTACAGGTGCACGTCCCCATGAAGGGCGATCCAGGCACAGTCCCTGCATGTGCAAAGGCACAGAGGTGTCACATGGCCTAGAGGGGGGGAAGGGAAGGAGGGGAGACGGGAAGCAATTCCTGGGGGTGGGAAATCAAGTTGTCCCGGGGTAACAGCAGGAGAGGCTGGAGAAGCCTGCAGAGCCCTGCAGATCATCAGCGTCTGCTTTAGTTCCTGCAGGCACTCACTTACTTGTTCTTTTATTCATGTATTTACTCGTATGTTCTGTGCATCCGCCATATGGACAGGGAGCGTGCTGGTGAAGAGGACGGTCCCCCATGTCCCGCCTTACCCCAGGGACCTGGGGGATCAGGGGTCTGAGGCCACCTGAAAGTCACTCTCTAGGTACTCTTCTATGGTCTTTATCTAAAAGCCAGGTTTACTGGTGCATTTGGTACATAATTTATGTACACAAAAATTCACCCCTTTTTGGTGTCGAACTGTATAAAACTCAGACATCTGTGTAACCACCACCACAATGACCATGCCTGTGTGACAAACACCACAGTACAGAACATTTCCATCGGTTCAATAAAGATCCCTTGTGCCCATTTTAGCCAATCTCCTTCTCTCCAATCCAGGACCTGGGAACTATGGGTCTGACTTCTGTTCCTACAGCTTCCTGCCCTTTCTAAAACGTCATATAGGCAGAATCATACAGTATGTGGCCTTCTGAGCCTGTCTGCTTTCACGCCTGTGATGCATTCAACATGCATGAAGTTGCACTTCTCAGTGACATATTCCTTTTCATTACTGAACAGTATGTCATTGTGTGGCTGAATCACAGGTAGTTCATCCATTCTCCAGCCGATGGGCAGTTAGGTTGTCTCCAGTCTGGGGCAATTATGAATAAAGCCACTACAGACATTCATGCACATACATTTTGCGTGGACATGTTTTCATTTCCCTTGGATGAAATCCTAAGAGTGAGAGTGCAAGGTCACATGTAAGTGTATGTGAGGCTCTGTCAAAGCTGTCAAACCCTTTTCCAAAACGGCTATACCATTTTTGCATCCTTGCTAATGTTTAATATGGTCAGGTTTTTTCAAAGCCTTTCTAATAGCTTTAGGGTGCTATCTCATTATGGTTTTAATCCGTATTTTCCTAATAACTGATGATATTAAATATCTTTTTAATGTTTATTTGCCATGTGTATATCTTCTTTGTCAAAGTATTAGTCTGAAACTTTCATCTGTTTCATATTGGTTTATTATCATCATTATTGTTGAGCTGTGAAAATCCTCTATATTTTCACCAGTCTTTTGTCATATATGTGATGTGCAAACATTTTCTTCCAGCCTGTAACTTGTTTTCTCATCTCCTTAATAGCATCTTTCAAATGGGTGGACTTTAATGATAGTGATGAGGTCCAATTTCTTGATTTTTCTTTCATGATTTGTGCTTTTTTGTGCTCTACTAAGAAATTTTGCTTACCTCAAAGATTTTATCCCATATTTTTCATTAGAAGTTTTGTAGTTTTAGGTTTTACATTTGGTCTATGATGCATTTTGAGTGATATAAGATATTTTTGCATGTGATGTAAGATATAATTTGCAGTTCTCTGCCTCTCTCTCTCTCTCTCTCTACATATGTGTGTGTATATATATATCTCTCCAATTGTACTAGTATCATTTGTTGAGAAGACTATCTTTTGTCCATAGAATTGCCTTAATGTCTTTGTTGAAAATCAACATCTATTTCTTGACCATGTGTTCTGTTCCATTCCACTAATCTATGTGTCTATTCTTTCCCCAATATCATGCTGTCTTGACTACTTATTGTAGCTTTATAGAAAGTCTTAAAATCAAGTAATGCCCATAATACTCTGAAATAAAAAAGTTTTTAAAATAATCAAATAGTGGTTCTTCAAAATGGTTTTGACTATTCTAATTACTTTGCTTAGCTATGTAAATTTTAGAATCAGCTTGTCAATTTCTACGTTGTTCTCCTCACCCGCCAAAACCCTTCTGGGCTTTCGATTGGGATTGGATCGACTCTGTGGTTCAGTTTTAGGGAAAAATAGACATTGTAACACTGTTGAGTCTTCCAATCCATGGACATAGTTTAGCTCTCCATTTATTGGTTTTTTTCCATAGTTTTTCTCATCAGCATTTTCTAGTTTTCAGTACACAAATATTGTACGTACATTGATGGTTAAATTTCTACCTAATTATTTAATGATTTGGGGTGCTATTTTAATTGTTTCCAGCTTTCTGTATCTTAGGCAAAAGCAGAACTCAGAACTTCCATAATGTACTTTCATACTTTCTGGCCCATTTATGCTTCATTTGGGTCCTTTCTCCTCCTTCCTTCCTACCTGAGGAAGGGTCTTTTTTGTTCTTTTAAACCCCATAGGAAAGAGCATTTCTGATTACTGACAGCACATGCATATCAAATGCTGTCTTCTTTTAGCTCATGCTAATTGTGGTTCAATTCTCTAATCCTCGTATCTGAGCACGGGAACATTTCTGCATCACCTACTGCTAAGCACAGGGTTCTTCCTGTCCCTTTGCTAAATCTGAGTTCAAGGATACCTGCCACCTCACATTTGGTCACGGAGATTTTTTTTCGCTATCATTCATCACACACAAACATCATTGTTTGCTGATGTGTGCATTCATTCAACCACCATGCATGTGCCAGTCCCTGTGCTAGAGAACTCGGTTCTCTGGGAACCTTGGTGTTCCTAGGCACAGTGGTGACCACTGCTGGGGAGAGGCCCAGACCCAGAAGCATAGGTGGACACATGACCTCCTCCTGATGCCTAACTTTGGTGGAGACCTCACAGCTGCTGGGTAATCCTTTTCAGAATTCCTGGAGGCTCCCTAGTCTACTCCCTATGGCAGCTGCTCCAAATCGTCACCCTCCTCAAACACACACTCTACTCCCCTCTCCTTCTTCCCTAGAAATAAATTGAGACCATCGGATGTGAGCATCCTCAGCCTTTTCCAGATACCCACTATCCTCCCATCCCCACTCTAGCCAGCCTGAGCAGCCAGGAAGGAACCAGATTCCCGTCAGAACCATGGCCAGCGCCAGCACCTGCACCTGGCTGGGGACCAGTGTACCAAACAGCTGGTGTTGGGAACAGGCCTCTCAAAGCTAGAACAACTCAAATTCTGTAAGGGCACATGAAGAGCCCAGCCTGAAAAAGCCCCTGCCCAGCCTGGCCTGAGAAGTGGGCTTGAGGGTGTGGTTGGCGGTGCCCACCCCACACTTGGCTGGGGCCACCAAACTGCAAACATCAGAGCCTGCAATTGTCACTCACTGACCAGCAGCCACTTACGATTTCCCTTTCCCAGATCTCTCTTTGATTCTGCCTTGCTGTGACTTGGCCTCACCTTCCTAGATCCAAACCCCTGCCATCAAGTCCCTCCATCCTACCTACCTCTGACCCTCCCAGACTTACCCTTCTTCCCACGTCTCTCTTTCTGTTTGTAGCATCATTCTCTGAAGCTTCCAGCATAGGCAGTTCTTCCACTCTTAACATATTTTCTGAGTTGAGGATCTCAGTCCTTGTTCCAAACCAGCGACTCCTCTTTTCCGGGCAGGACATCTCCCAGGGGAGTGTGTGTGTGAGTGTGTGTGTGTGTGTGTGTGTGTGTGTGTGTGTGTGTGTGTGTGTTGGGGTTGGGTTAGGTCACAGGCAGACAGACAACAGGCCAGTTTGGCAGCAGCTGGTGGCCCAGCTGGAGTGACGCAGGATTGCAGCCCCAGAGGGAAGCTCTGGTGGAGAACACAGGCGATGAGAGATGAACCCAGGAGCTGAACCTGGCACAAGGCACTGTAGGTGTCACAAGGCTGAGGCAGAAGCATAGGGAGCCTCACCTGCCACTTGACTGAATCAGAACTGGCCCAGGCTCTGGCCAGAGTCGGGGAGGATGCCCAGCCTACCGTGGGGGCTGGAAGTCTGGGTGGGGCAGGAACTGGAAATACAGACTGGAGGTTAAGTACACAGGCTTTGCTTCTCACAGAGCTGTTACTTACTAGCTATGTGGCTGTAGGGACCAAGACCCTGGCCCTATTTTATTATTTTCCTTCCTCCCTGAATGTTTGCTGAAAAATCACTGACATGAGGCAGGTTGAGTAACAGGAGAAAAGGCACCCAAATTCATTTAATGTGTATACACGGGAGGCTTCGGAACGAAGACACAATCTTCATTCTAGTGGAATGAAAAATCCGGTAGAGCCATATCTAGCAGAATGAAAATCCAGGGGAAATTGTTCATTTTTATGCTTAGGTTCAACAAAGTATGGACAGTTATATAG